AAATCGCCTGAAACCTGTAGCATTGTCTGCAGATATCAAACAAGCATTCCTACAAGTAAGAATTCGACCTGAGGATAGAGATTCGCTCAGGTTTCACTGGATTAAGGACAAAGAGACGCTGACAATTGAAGTCCTGCGATTCACTCGCGCGCTCTTTGGTCTTGTGCAATCACCATTCTTGTTAGGAGCAACAATCCAACAGCATTTGGAAGTTATACGCGAAAAATATCCGTCGGAAGTTGAAGAGATAATGCGAAGCCTCTATGTTGATGACATTATCTCAGGTGGAGAAACCAGAGACGGTGTACAAAAATTGAAAGGAACGGTGAAGGAGATATTTGGACAGGCGAAATTTGACCTACACAAATGGCATTCTAACGTGTGTGAACTGGAGGAAAACGACGAGCAAACACCTACCGTTCAGAGTTATGCAAAAGATCAACTTGGGGTGAAACCAGGTGAAACCAAAATGCTTGGACTTCCATGGGATAAAGTGGAAGACACAATTTCAATATCCTTTCCCCAGAAAACAGCAGCGACTACCAAAAGGGAGATATTACGCTTCCTTGCCTCAATCTACGACCCTCTGGGACTTGCCTCACCCGTCGCACTCGTAGGGAAGCTCATTTACAGAGAGGTGTGTGATCAAAAGTTGCCGTGGGATAAGGAGATACCTCAACAACTGTCGACTCGTTGGCAGAAGTTTCAGCAAAACCTTCCCGAGAAACTAGATTTCCCACGAAGCCTGACCAGCCTTGAGGAGCCAATCGAAGCCGTAGATCTACATACGTTCGGAGATTCCAGCAAAGACGGAACATCAGCAACTGTGTACGCTGTGGTACATCAAAAGTCTGGCATCAGCCAAGGATTGATCGCAGCAAAATCCAGATTGGCGAAGAAAGAGTTGACCATCCCGCGACTTGAACTTGTTTCGGCACATATGGCAACTAACTTGGTCGAGAATGCAAGAAATGCGCTTGGTGGATACCCTGTCAGATCAGTCACCGGATGGTTGGACAGTACAGTGGCCCTGTACTGGATCAAAGGACATGGCGCCTACAAGCAATTTGTTTCAAACAGAGTCAAGAAGATTAACGCCAAGGAATATATCAATTGGAGACATGTGAGAACGGATGAGAACCCAGCCGACCTGGGAAGCCGAGGATGTACGACAGCGAAGTTACCAGAATCTTGGTTAACAGGACCAGATTGGCTGTCAAAACCCGATGAATGGCCAGCTGACATACATAACAAGCCTAGCAAAGAGTCTGAAACTGAAGCGAAGCCTATCAAGGAACTGTTGGTAACCGCTGTGTGTGCGATGGATGATCTGGACGAGCTATTAGAGAATCGTAGCTTTTGGAAGGCAGTGCGTGTCTTCGCGTGGATCGTCAGATTTATCTGTAATTGCAAGTCTTCTAAGGCTGAACGGACATATGGGCCTTTAACGACAGCTGAAACGGAAGCACGAGTTCAGTTCTGGGTGAAAAGAGCGACCGAAGCACACAGTGAAACGGAACAGTTCAAAGAAGATAAGTTGAAGCTGAACCTACAACGAAATCCTGATGACCTTTACGAATGCCGTGGAAGAATTCAAGGAAACTTCCCGATATATCTACCTCCAAATGCGCTCATTACTACAAAAATCATTCACAACGCCCATGTTCAAAGCCTTCACGGGGGAGTGGGATCAACAATGGCCTACACGAGACAAAAATACTGGGTACCTCGGCTGAGACAGCTAAGCAAGAAAGTCATAAGGAACTGTTATGGCTGCAAGAAGTTCCATACTTCCACATTTCATCACCCTCCTGTCGGACCCTTACCCACAGATCGAACAGTCGGATCAGTGCCATTCGAAGTCCTGGGCATAGACTACGCTGGTCCTATAACCTATAGATCTAGCAAGAAAAGAATTGGCAAAGCGTACATTCTCTTGTTCGCCTGCAGCCTAACCCGTGCCATTTACCTGGAACTTCTTCCGGATCAGACGGCGGAAAATTGTATCAGGAGCTTGAAGCGGTTCGTAGCGAGAAGGGGCAGACCAAAGAAAATCTATTCGGATAACGGAAAGACCTTCAAAGCAGCAGCAAATTGGATAAGAAAGGTAATGAAACAAGAACAGTTCCAAAACTTCCTCGCCCGTCAAAATATCGTTTGGCAGTTCAACCTGAGCAGGGCTCCTTGGTGGGGAGGCCAGTTTGAGAGGATGGTGGGCCTGGTAAAAAGAGCACTATACAAGAGCATCGGACGTGCTAATTTGCGATGGGGAGAGCTTGAAGAGGTGATCCTGGATGTAGAAATAGCGGTTAACAATCGGCCTTTGGGCTATGTCGAGGACGATGTTCAATTTCCTACCCTGACGCCAAACTCAATGCTGTTTATGCAACCTAACCTACTTCCCGAAGAAGAAACTAGTGATGTCGAAGGCGTAGAGCTGAGGAAACGAGCAAGGCATTTATCGAAGTGCAAGGACGCGGTATGGTCTCGATGGACAAAAGAGTACATAAACGGACTGAGAGAACGGCACAATCTGAACAACAAGGGGAAAGAAGTAAGCGTTAAAGTAGGAGACGTAGTTTTGATCCAAAACGACGAACGGAATCGAGGAAAGTGGAATGTCGGTATCGTAGTTAAGCTTATAAAAGGAAAGGACGGTGTAGTAAGAGCTGCGAAACTCAGAGCAGGGAAGTCCTATTTGGAACGCGCCATTCAGCAATTAGCCCCGATGGAACTGACATGTGATAATCCGCCAGTACGGCCAGAAGAGAAACAAGCAACCTTGAATGTGAAAGCGAGAGAGTTTCGACCGAAAAGACGAGCAGCTGCAGCCGCGGAGGAACGAATCAAAAGTATCGCTGAAGAAGATGAACTTGAACACTAATTGAACAGAACATACATTTGTTTCCTTCGGAATCAAATGGGGGGAGAGTGTAGATAATTTTAGACATTATTGACATTACAGATAGTTATTAAGACTTACATAAAGTATTGCGAACAGAAGAGCCCGCGGGCGCTAGGATCGGGGGCTCAGGGGATGAGAGAAAAACAAAACAGTGAGAGATTTTGTAAATCAAATGTGAGAGTTTCAATGAATTTAAGTTTAAAATAAACAGTTTTGTCGAGCAGAAATATACGTTTCCGACATGTATACTCGCTCGCTGGCCGATGTGGAATCAAAGTCGAAACCATATGAGAACTCTCATGACTTTCTTTAGACTGACCTCCTTTCTGTAGCCAGCAGCCAGAAGTCCGGTGGATCACACGGTTTGTGCACAAAATAGGTATATCACCATTTTTCCTGTCTTTGGGGTTAAATGATAAAGAACGACACGACAGTGGAAATACCATACATTTTTGTGTACCAGTAATACAAAATGCTATAACCGACATCGGTTTTGGTGCAAAATTGAAATGCCGATATCTCAGGACCTAATTGATAAAATTTGATAAAATTTGGTGTGCTTGCTTATCCTCACTAATACATCCAACTGGTGCAATTTTGGATAAAATCTGAGATGGGTGGGTGACATGCACTTGTTGAGTTGACATGGAATGGACCCTAGTATGTTTTTGTCTTTGGTTTATGCAGAAATGGTCGCTTCATGGTCACGTGTGTATTGTATAAACTTCGTCAAGTGGACCAATAGTATGTTTTTATTAAACCATTACCATTGTATGATGTCATGACTGAATAACCACACCAACACACTGCTATTGATTCATTGAGCTGAAAAACAATACACACATGATCATGAAGCGACCATTTTTTTGCATAAACCAAAATAACAACATAGATAATGAGATCTATTGTATTCTCATCGAGTTTCGTAACCATCTTGTCCTATTGACTATGGTGGGTTTTTGAAGTGCCTACATCACATGGTTTTTCCATGCATGCAAATACAGCTAAATTTATTCCGGACCGACAAGTTTCCCACATTGCATCGCGTTTTGACACTGGCGTGACGTAAGCAATTCAAAGGTCTATTGACTAGTACACAAGTCATTCCTATGAATTGTACGCGAATTTTGTTTCATAGTTAAATAGAATTTATTTGTAGAAGGTCATGATCGAAAGAAAAACAAATAATTTTCATTAGCATTTTCTACGAATTAAATTTATTTCATTTCAAAGTGTGAGTAATAAGTAGCTTAAGTTGGCAAAAAGCAGTTAATTTCAATTCACATTTAGAGAAGTTTTATGCAGGGCCGAAGCCCTGAAGAGGTTTAACCTGAACATTCTGAAAGGCCTTATTTAACTAAAATAACATATATCCCAAGTTTTTATTCAATTGCAGTTCCTTTCTTTTGTGCTTTCTAGAAAATATCTGGCGTCGGAGCAACATATTTCCGAAATGCTTGGTGATCTTAGTTTACGAGAAAGTGAAATAACTGAAAGTGAAGAAAGTGTGCCTGGTGAAAAACGTATGTCTGAAGTAACTGAAGAAAGTGTGCCTCGAGCAAGTCCGGTGTGTGGTGATGAAGAAAGTGTGGCTCGAGCAAGATCGGTGTGTGGTGATGAAGAAAGTGTGCCTGGTGAAGAACGTATGTCTGAAGTAACTGAAGAAAGTGTGCCTCGAGCAAGTTTGGTGTGTGGTGATGAAGTGTGCCTGGTGAAGAACGTATGTCTGAAGTAACTGAAGAAAGTGTGCCTCCAGCAAGTCCGGTGTGTGGTGATGAAGAAAGTGTGCCTCGATTAAGTCCGGTGGAAGAAGATGCTGATGAACCGCTCACAGAAGAGAACTTTAAAACATTTTTTTTCTTGCTATCGCACCACCTAATCACTCGGGGTCAAAACCAACAAGGAAGTACTGAAAAGTTTCAAACGAAAATTCCTGGGGCCCTGACCTGGAGAGGCTTGTTAAGAAGGCTTTTCGTAAAGAACAGTGGCATAGTGGTAAAGTGCAAATGTGACGGAGAAAAATCAAAGCCATTAAGCACATCGAAAGAAACCATGAGGAGACTAAAGAAATCACCCTGGACAAGGAGGATCTCACAGTTGAATTTCCTAAAGGTATTTCCTATACTATTTGACAAAGTTAATGAAATTATTTGAAAATCATAATAAAAATTAAGGATCATTATTACACCCGCCCATTGATTATTAAAGTCGAAGTCTAGTAAGGCACTTTGATACATTTATATTTTTTCTTGTTACTGTCGCAAGTTGATTCGAACTGACGTATTGTAGCGGGAGGCTGACTTTAGGGCGGGTATAATACCTCGTTATATTCAGGTCGTTTAATTGGTCAATTATGGTCAGGTGATATTGAATAGAAAGTTCCATTTCCAAAGAGTGCAATAGTGCTAATACTATTGCACTCTGGAGAGTGCAATAGTATGTGTACTATTGCACTCTATGTTTTCAACACACTTTTCGGACAGTGATCACAGTTTATTTACACCGTTTATTATTGTAGTTTTTTTTACACCGTTTATTATTATAGTTTTTTAATAAACTGTTCTTGAAAAGCAATAGCCTACTCGGCTATCACTTCGTTGAATAGAACATTCCATCTTTCACCTCATGACAATATTGTTACCATTCCACTCATAAACATTCATTATTTGTATAATAATACACCAATTGCGAACTTGGTGACTGCACCTTCCCCCATATGTTTCTTTTTTAGTGCAGTAACAAAAAGAAATTGACAATGCCTGCATGCAAATTGTAGTCTTTGAAAGCGCTTGTACTTTATACTTTCAGATTGTTAATACTGATGGCCCCAAATTGATGTGAACTTCATGAGACGGGGACTGGGAGGAAAGAGTCACAGGTTTGTGCGTTGTGAACAAATCAGATTTACTTTTAATTTGTTGGCCGATGTGTAAAACTGTTAAAATCCTCTTGACTTTCTTTCTTGAACTTTTTCTAGACTGACCTCCCTTCTGTCAGGTGAGTTGTACCATTCGAGTCTCTTTAACAAGACAAAAAGAAAAGAATGGAAGTACTGGAAAGTTTCGAACGAAAATTCCTGGGGCCCTGGCCTGGAGAGGCTTGTTAAGAAAGCTTTTCAAAAAGAACAGTGGCGTAATGGTGAAGTGGAAACGTGACGGAGAAAAACCAAAGACAAAAGCCACAAGGGCAATTAAACACATCGAAAGAAACCATGCGGATGTGGAGACTAAAGAAATCACCCTGGACAAGGAGGATTTCACAGTTGAATTCTATTAAGACACGTCCAAATTCACTTCAACGCAGGTCTGAAGTAACTGAAGTAAGTCTGGTGTGTGGTGATGAAGAAAGTGTGCCTGGTGAAGAACGTATGTCTGAAGTAACTGAAGAAAGTGTGCCTCGAGCAAGTTCGGTGTGTGGTGATGAAGAAAGTGTGCCTTGAGCAAGATCGGTGTGTCATGATGAAAGTGTGCCTGGTGAAGAACGTATGTCTGAAGTAACTGAAGAAAGTATGCCTCGAGCAAGTTCGGTGTGTGGTGATGAAGAACGTGTGCCTGGTGAAGAACATATGTCTGAAGTAACTGAAGAAAGTGTGCCTCCAGCAAGTCCGGTGTGTGGTGATGAAGAAAGTGTGCCTGGTGAAGAACGTGTGTCTGAAGTAACTCTCTGAAGGAACTGAGTGATTCTCAATTCGGTTTTCGTAAATTTCACTCATAATGGGTTTAATTTCGATTTCAAAATCCTCATCAATAATATGAAGAAATATGACGTCCCACTGAGTGAACTGCAATTTGTAGAGGTGCATTTTGCTGATACGTTGGAGTTCTGCAAAATGGTGAGTTTTGATCGACGTTTTTAAAACGTTCATAAACGACTTGTATTTTTTTTGGTTCTTTCGAAATGAATTCCTCAATGGTATTTGTGTTATGATTTCACTTGAGCCTTTCCATTTGTGATCTCTGATCAACACATGTCATGGAGGGGCTTAAGTGAAACAGATTTTAAATATTTTGTTTTAGGTCCAGGAAAATGGAAAGCTAAGGAGCCCGAAGTTGTCCATGGATGGGCTTCATGGCCATTTCTTCCCGGGGAAAAAATTTAAGGGTGAGTGGAAAATGCAAGTTATTTGATCATACGTGCACACCAATCAAGAGGTAATCTGCATGTACAGATTTTTTTTTTTAAAGGAATCGTAAATGTCACACATTTTTTTTACAAACAAGACACTTGCTCAGCATTTACTTGGGTTACCTTTCGGTGTTTGCTTGAAAACATGCTAGAACGGTCTGGACGAACTAACAACCTAAGTTTGTCCAGTAAGACGAAATAACAGTTAAGTTCGACGCTAATTCGTCTGTTGTCTGCTTTTATAAG